GAGAGTACACTTTGAACTTATATCTTCCCCTTGAATTGAGAAATACTGTATGCATTCATAACCAGCTTTACTTGAGTTTCTTAGGCTGTAGCTTATAAGCTCTATCTCAAATTTCAACTATATTTATGATTTTTTGCCCAGCTGCTGGGTAACCTCCTTAACCACGCATTTAGGTTATATGATCAAGTAGAATAATTTCTTAGAATCAAATTGCCAGAGAAGACCGGTTTAAAATATATCACGATGAATCATGTAATCTGTAATCAGTCGGTATCCGTATGAATCAATTTTGATACAATTAATATTGATAATAAGGGAAAACGTTTGTAGTATACTTCAAATAAAGACGTGATGAAATCTTTACTTGACTACAACACTTCATAGCAGATGAGGGGAACATTATTTAAACCTGTACGAACGCAATAGTTACTACACGATACAACGTGGCATCATGGTGGCCATTCCATCATAGCGAGGTCATAGAATCTATCTAAACGAATATAGAGTTGAAAATTTAATCTCAACCTACCCTAGTAAAAAATAGCGAAGTGTACGCCCCCTCCCCACCGTTTCACTATTTCCCACCCTATCAGAAAATTAGACAGTTAGTTGGAACAGGGGCCAAAGAGAAAGCTGGTTCGTCATTATCGTTCTCGTCTTCACCATTTTCATTCCTGTCACTGTTTGATCAAACTCGACGCTTTTGCCAAAAGTTAGGAAGTGCTCGGAATTCAAGCGTATACATGATTCCCACTCTCGAGAACCTTAGATTGCTCAATTAAAAGATTTTGTCCATTCTTACTGTTTTTTTGTTACTTTGTCTCCGCCATCCCTCTGGTTTTCGCTCCTCTGCCGATTCTTAAACCTTTGCACCGTTTATCCTCGGGTTCACCCTGCATAATTAAGGTCATTTTGATTCCGTTCTTGGTGATCCATTTGAGTCCACAAATAGTATGTGGACCTCATATTGTGCCTCCTTCTCTCTAGATTTTTTGAAATATTTATAGGTTTTTTTTTTTAAGAAGCGGGTAGATGCTTCCTTCTTAGGTCTTGGGTACAACCATGTCTATAAATATAAAGAAGTTACTAACAGATCAATTTCGCATTATGATTTGATTTCATTAGCTGTATGCTTGTTGGCATGTGGTCTACTTTGGAGTAGTGGGGAAAAAGGTCTTCTTTTTATGAAAACCAAAAAAAAAATCACCCGGATGCTTTACTTCATTAGCCATTCTTTGTCCAGAAGGAAATTTCACAGCCCAATTTTTTGCTCGGTAAAAGATCAGGTTAACATTGCAAAATAAAAGCACAGCTCCCAGTATCTGGCAGTAAATAAGGATCTTCTTCCTACATCATTACAAATGGATTGAGGAAAGAAAAACAGTCTTATATCACGCCTCGTTCTTCACAGAATATCTCAAGCTTCGAATGATGAGAGCGTCTACTTATGCGCCAGCAGTCGATCGAGTTTACTTGATGACAGTCTTTCTAGGTGATTTGGATATCTTCTGTAGCTTTACATATTCACTTTCTAGTTAAAGCCCATAGCTAATGGCTGGCTCCTCGACACGAAGCTGCTTAAAACAGATTGACATTTTTCGCTAGATATGCGTATTCCCTGCAGAATATTCGTGTACAGGTTACTTTTTTCGTCCATATTCCTTAAACGAAAAACGCTATCAGTTACCAACGTAATATATAGACAACGTTATATAGTTTGCTCGTTAAAAGATCAGGTTAACATTGCAAAATAAAAAAACACAGCTGGCAGCGCTATATAGACAACGCTATATAGACAACGTTATGAAAACAACACATAAACAAAAAAAGGAATAACGATACTTTGAAATAATGCAGCAATAATCTACTATCGTCGCGTTTTCATCCTCGGTGTTAGTGAGTTGTTCCCTCGGCAGTTCGATGCCGCACGGCTCTCCTGCTGTTGTGTTTTTTTTTTTGTTATATACCATGCACACAATGGAAGAGTATTATACTTATTTAATGGCCTGGCAATAAAATTGAGAGTGTATCCGCAGGAACCAGAAAAAGTACGAATCATGAATCAATTAAAACTATCTTTGTGCATCGTCCTTCAACTACATTTATGAATTATTTCACTAGAAAATATCAAAGCTGAACATAACGTAAGTTAACCTAAGGTAAGTTAAAGTATAAAGTTATCCTACCATTTAGGGATAACATGTGCCTCGTCAGTTACTATAGTGAAGAGATTTCTTTGATAAACATCGCTCTGTAGCATATTCCGCCATTTTTCGTTCAGAACAAGGGACTCAGGGTTTGCAAAAATGAACGAATACTCGCCACGCATAATTATTTCATCATCAACATCACCCACGAGGCTTGTAGCTGTAATTCCTCGCTCTTCTAGTTCTTGAATATGTGATTNCTAATGTCTGACACGATATTTCCACCTGAAATTCTATGATCAAATCTATTCAGAAATATATTATCAATGAGTTAGCCCTTCGCTCTGACGAAGGGCTAACGCTCGAAACGTCAGCTTTTGTAATCGTCACGGTGGCCAATCTACCATTTTAACTTTGTTGATATATCTAAATTATCTCGTTACCCCCACCGACGCAGCCCCAAACAGTTTCTTTCGAAACTATCAACCTTTAAGATGCATAGGCGCATTTGATCAGGCGAGTTGGGCAAGAGTATAATCCATGTGATTTATGATAAGGCAATGACAAAATCTCGCGCTCTATTTCAGATTGAGTGACAGGATCGAAAAAGAAAGAATATATAGAACGACGATCATGTAAATAATCGCTGAAATGCTTCGTAGAGGAGGGAACATTTTTTGCCAAACTTTCCCCAATAGAAGAGAAATAGTTATTCCTAATGTTTGGAAGTTCAGAACCAAGAAGAGCAGTTTCACCGGTACCGGGTCTTTTAAGTACTGTTACGGGTTTGGAATTTTTCTTTTGACTATTCAAAAGTTGATTAATACCAGCCCAAGTATTCTTCATGTTATGTAGGTTTTCATTAAAGAATTTACAATAGTATATCCTTTTATTATGTCGTATGAGACCAGATAATTTGTTTGTGTGCAACTTATATCTTCGGAAATCGCCTGAGGCTAGCAAAGCAATTTTAACTTTTATAGATTTAATTAACCCCCTACTTAACCGAGGTTTTGAGAATTGCTTTGCACTATGTCTAGAAAATGGTTTAAAGGGGGCATTACCTTAACAAGTTTCTCTTGTTTGTTATAAATCGAGGAGAAGGCTTTCTTCGGACTAGCGGAATGTTTAGTCAGTGTGGTACTCCAGTCAACAAGTGAAATATCACAGATAAAATTTTGTTCCATGAAATGAGAGTAGTCTCTAATTTTTAGCTTCTTCGGAACAGGCTTGGCTGTTATGGATTGCAGTGTACAGAACTGTGTGTAATGGTCACTGACATCCGAAATAATTTTTCCTCTTACAATCTGTCGTAAAGTATTTTAAAGGATTGCTATTTTGAGTATTTTTAGGTTTACCTTTTGTTTTGATGAGTCTCAGTCAAGCGGGGGATCTCATGAGACGAAACCTACTTTTAGAAATAGTGCGCGACGTCATTGAATTTTGTGAGTTGAAGGCTCAAATCTGTCTCCTGGAATCAAAAGTTCATGCCTTTTAGTACAATCACTTTGTGCACAGTTTATCCACCAGGGTTTTAACTGGTAATTCTGATTCCGTTCTCTGCGATTTCTTTGAGCCCGCCGCTAGTCTTCTTTGGAGGAACTTCGTCTTACTCATTTGTTTTTTTCTTTCTTTTTTTTATTTGGAACGGAGAGTAGATTTTCTACTCAGTAAATTTTGTGTAAAACCATGTTTGTAAAGTTAAAGTTATCCTGAAAGACCAATTCGTACTACGTTTCGATTTCCACCAGCAGCAAGCTTGTTAGCGTGTGGTATATTATTGCAAAGTTAGCAACTGATCCCTTTCGGGACTCTGAAAGATCCACAGAAAGATAGTGCGCTTTTTTTCCTCGAAAGACCCGGATGCATTACTTCGTTACCTAAACTTCGTTGGGACGAAAAGTAATTTAAATTCACCGGCCAGTATTGTTTAAACGCCATGAGANGTATAAGACTGTGGATAAAACAAAATTGGGAGTAGTGATCACTAATGTCTGACACGATATTTCCACCTGAAATTCTATGATCAAATCTATTCAGAAATATATTATCAATGAGTGTGGCAGAATTATTGTAGACTCTAGATGGTTTATCAATTACCGGGAAGAACGAATAACATTGTAAAGATAACAAAAAATTTTGGGAGTAATCGGAAATTTCAGATTTGAGGAGATCAATATTGAAATCGCCCATAAGATAAACAACTTTATCAGAGGAGCTAAGTTTTTCTAAAGTAAAGTCAACATATTGGAGGAATTGTTCCGGATCATTATGCTGCCTATAAATCACTCCACAAACGATATTTTTACTCTTTAGGGATTCAATTTCGATCCATAAAGCCTGAAAAGCGTCTTTAGATGTTCTCTCCAGAACCTTATATTTCAAACAATTATTAATGTACATTCCAACACCTCCACATGATAGAGGTGTTGGGACATATTCAAACTGATAGTTTGGTATGCAGGCATTGAAATCTAGCCCAGATGAATTTGTAATTTTTGTTTCTGTAATACCGATTACACTGAATTGGTAGTCAAGTTCATCTAAAAGATGGACTTGAAAATTATCAATGTTTTTCCGCAAACTTCTTACGTTAGTATGAAGCATAGAGAAAGGACCTTGACTATCTGATTCCAACAAAGACTCTTTAAACATAGAAAAACTATAGGGTGAGAAATATTTACATCTAATTTGTTGCATGCTTAAGTTTCTGTCGGGATTTAATGTTGATTCGGTATTTAAGCGAAACAAATCTAAATCATAAATACTATGAAGTTTGTCTAAGTACTTCTTGGTCGGTAAGTCACTGTTGAGAATGTTATTAAACTGTCCATGAGCTCAAATAATATCAACATTCGCGTATGGAAGTTCGCTTAGGGTAGATTTAATTGTACAACGAACACGTTTCTCGCTAACACTCATACTTATTATCTAAAAACAGACAAACAACTCTACATCAACATGAATACTTAGCCTTCACGTCCATTCGTTAATCGGTGCAGGTCCGTGATATCCTTAATCTTGATGGCTCGAGACGTGGTATCTTTACGAAGATAAACAAGCGATCCCTTCGACCAGCAATATTGATAGCGAAACTGCTCCTTGAACCTCTTAGCTTCAAATAAAACCTTTTGCATCCTTGGCGTTAAATGGTCAAAAATTCTAACAGCGGAAAGGGAGGCACCGTCAGGTAAACCAACAGCAGATGGGGCAACTTTACTTGCATTTCTTTTATGATTCATGACATCATCTTTTGACAATCGTCTAATAAATCGACAAATGATTGGCCGCGGGCCGCCATTGTCATTGCTTCTTGTTGGGACTCGATGGGCTGTGTCAATGTCATGAATTGATACAGCGGATCCAATTGCCTTAAATAAACGATCACATAGCTCACTCGTAGAGGCCGAGGATTCATCTTGATTCAATTGAGGGACACCAACAATCTTAACATTATATTGATAACTGTACTCTTGAAATTCATCGATGCTCCTGGAAACTCTGTTAACTTCAACAGCAATCTCATCAAGCATGGCACCTAAGCGATCAAGTTCTTTACCAGCAGAGACCCTGAATCGCTCAAAGTCATCATATTCTTTACTCATGAATTCTAAGCTTTGCTCTACTTCGTCATTAGTCGCTGCAGGTTTTTTTGACTGCTCCAGCAGCATCTCCTTCATCTTAGCAATCTCATCCGCCATGACAGACAGTTGATCTTTAAGCTTACTGTTCTCTCTCTTGAGGCTAGCAACAGACTCAGGCATTCTTGAATCTCTCAGAAAGCAAAAAAAGAAAAACGATCGAGAAAAAAAGAAACGAAAAATTATCCAAGAGCAAACGAAAAATTTTCCAAACTTGATTAAGATTAGCGGAGCTCGTAAAGTAACGTCCGTCCTGACCAACTCACCGCTGACCAGTTGACTATCATCTCACGATTGAGAGTACATGTATCCCAAGCTTGAAATTATGAAAAACTTTTCTTATACGTTGGCATGCAGTTGGTGCAGTTTACTTCATGAAAGTCGTTTCAGGTGAGGAGGTTATCACTCTTTTATTTGACTTATCTGGCTACTTAATTAATTAAAGCCCATAGCTAACAGTCTATCGACAAGAAGCTGCTCCTTTGGGTTCAAAACCCCCTCAAAACCACAAGAACAAAAAAAATATATTTAAATGAATGACTTGTGGCATTAAACAAGCGTATTTTTAGCAGTTTTTCGTGGAGTAAAAATTTATTTTTTTTCGTCCATATTCCCTAAGTGCAAAAAGGCAGTATTTTTAGAACGTTTTCAGTAAAATAGCTCGAACTCTTTTGAAGCTGGAGGCACCGCCCAAAGCGGGCCAAGATAAAAGAATCAGAGGAATTAGACAATAAGAATAAAGCTTTAACACGATATATCTTATGATCTCAGTGTATATATATATATATGGCAGACTCCTTTATATGTGGCAGACCCTCGCCATTAAATAATTTGCATATATCAACAAAATTGGAATGGTAAATTGGCCACCGTAACGATTACAAAAGCTGACGTTTTGAGCGTTAGCCCTTCGTCGGAGCAAATTAATGTTGACTTTCATTTTACCTCTGCAAAAAAAGTCACAAAGTACCTTATTTCAACGGGTAACTGTTTAAGACTTGTAAAAACCACCTAACAATGAATTTATAATTCCAAAACGAAAGAAGGACCGTCTGCAAGCACACAAAATTTAAAATCAGGATTACATCGCGTTAGAGTGTACGAGATTTCCGGAGTTGCATAAATTTTCATTATTTTACGGGACGGGAGGGGCGAGATGCCATCTAGTCGTATTTTGAGCTTTTCGATTTTTCGGAGAAAGTAAAGCACGATGTATTATCATGGCTTTTAGGAGCATTTATGGCAATTTCTAATCAAACTAATATTATCAACATAAGTTTTATTGTTACGATTATAATTATCGTCACAATTATTTATTCCATTAAATTTTAATGAGCATTTTCTCGGGAGCTTTTCTTTTTTCTGGGACCATCTTGCTGCCACGATACTTCATCCTTAAGTCGTTCTGCTCTTAAATGAAAAATCATTAATAATTCAATGGGTAACTGATACCGTATTTAAAATGTTAAGTAATGTATTGTGCGCTAAATCGTCGAGTACCTACGAGGAAATTGTAAAGCAGGTGAGAACCAGAAGTATAACCGGGATGACGTATGGATAAAAACAAACTGGATGAATCACAAGCTCCTCGAGTGAATGAATATTTTCATCCTATTGACTCATTGTGAGTGGATCAATTGAGACGAGTTTCACCTATTGACAGAGTCTTTTCTTCGAGTGCAACCAGGAAGGATAATTTAAATGCTATCTGGTTCGGCGAGCATATTTCATGCTGCGACGTTCATTCTAGGTGAGTAACGTCATACGCTCAACAAAATTATCAAAACTTGAAGTTTGTTAATCATTTGTTGGAATGTCAAAGAAAAACTAACAAAGAGGTCTCTACTTTCTTAATACTTTTGTCGATTTTTTCAACTACTTACTAAAACCGCACTCTTAATTTGAAACTTATTTAACTAGATAAATTAAATATGCAGATATGCTAAGAAAATTGGTGTGTTTATGGATCAGTAATGCCCTTAAAAAAACAATCCATGGCGAAAGGCAGCGTCAAAATATTTGAAAAACCGATGACAATTTTTTTTAATGATAATGAACAAAGGGAAATGTTACCAACTGGAACTTGCAACAGTTTATCAGAAACACCTCTGCAAAGAAGAAAAATTAAAATTTGCTTTGTCTTGGCGACTTATTTCTAACTGAAGAGCGATCAGCGTATACAAGATAA